AATAGTAAGGTAGTAGACAACATTTTTCCCATCAGCCTGCCTGTGGGGTATGTCTACAAACTAGAAAAATGGTAGTTGGAGGGAAACTGAATTTTGAAGGGTGGCCTGACATGAAATGGAAGAAAATGGGGAAAGCTTAGGGGTGGTGAAAAATTAAGGCATGAGCCCGATCAAACCCCTATTTAAGTGATCCTTACTCAGGCAAGTACTCCTGTTCAGTCAATGGGTCTGCTCCTGTTAGTGAAAATCTTGCGAAATGATGACTTTTCCTTGTTTACTAACAACTATTTGCTGAAGTAGCCACCTTTTTCATGGTCTTGTTTGTTCTTACCATTTGAATCTCTTCCATAAACTATACATTCACGGAGCCTTAAAATCCCATCTGTTTTTGACTTCCTGCTTTGGAGGGTGAATTGCATTGATTAAGAGCGACTTCCTGTTTAGACACTTTTCCTGAAGGACAGGTGGGATTTCAGGTCTATAGGACTACAGCATCTGAGTTTTCATTATTTAGAATAAAAAAGCTTTTTTGGACCTACTTATTTTTAATTTTAGTTTCTGATTCTAGTGAATTTTCTTATTTTTTTTATTCTACCTGCTGACTTAATTTTGTTGCTTAAAGTCTGTTTGAAGCCTGAGAAGTACTGTACAATGTAAGACCTTACTTTAAGATTCTGTTCTCAGTATAACTCCCTTTGAATGATGCAAGGAGGGTTCTAATCTGGTGTTTGCAGTGTTGTTGTAGTCGTGTTGGTCCCAGGATAGACAAAGGGGCGAGGTAATATCTTTTACTGGACCAACATTTGTGGGTGAAAGAGACATTTTTTTCTTTTCTACTTTTTCTTCAGATACTGATAAAGTGCGTGGGGTAGCTTGAATGCTTCTTTCTTTCACCCACAGAAGTTGGTCCAGTAAAAGATTTTACCGCACACACCTGGTTTTAATCTCGCTCATTTTCAGTAAAGATACTTTGTTGCCATGGACAAACCAATCCATACTGTAGCTAGATTAAAAAATATGCTTTAATGCAGGTCTCTACTGGAGCTAGTGTGATATTTTTTAAACCAATTTGACGCTGTCTACACTGCCAAGACTTGTTATGACACAGTAAGACCACAACCATGTTTACCCCATGCTTAAGCATGTATTTTAAACTGTTCAAAGCCCTGTGCTGACAAGGCCTAAAAGTCCTGTTTGTTTGCATTCATTCACCTTGAATTGCAGGCTCCCAAAATTACTTGCTCAGAGTCTGAGAAATCCTTGGTCCTAGCACCAGAGTCTTAAGCTGAAAGGTTAAAAAAAGAATTACACAGCTGGATTTGTACTTTTCTAAAAGGGAAGGGATAATTTCTTGCCAAACCAAATAGATTCATTACTTTTGTGGCTTACTTACTAAAAGCAGCCAAAAATATTGTATAAGGGATAAATGATGGACTTCAGGCTGACATTTTTCCATTAAGAATTTATTTTTATATTCTATCTTTCATTGAAATTGTGGTCGTTACATGTAGTTTGTTTTTTCAAATGTAGAGCTCCCAAAATTATGTTATTTCATCTCAGTCAAGCATTTACAACAAACATAAACAGATTTCAGGGATATCGCTTCAGCATTAGCAATCTGGAGCAATTTACTTCTGAAAATACAAAAAGAGTACGTTAACAAGTAACATTTTGTAGCTTTGGAGCCTGAGTGGATTGACAGGGAGTCTTGTACTACATGCAGTGGTTTCCTTAAATCATGCATCTCAGCAACTTGTAGAAGAATACAGGATGATAAAACTATTATTCAGTGTAATATTTTCTATTAATTATAGGTATAATAACTTCTTAACATGGATATTCATGTTCAGCACTGCTTGCAGTGTATTTTGCATTAATATCTTCAATTGGTTTTTTAAAGAGGCACTCAAGTTAAAACAGTCTTTCAAAGAAATTTCTTTGCCTCTGGAACTAATACTACTCATAGTTAAAACTGAAGTAATTTTAAATATGTTTCACTATTAATGCAGTTTGTTTCTTGTTTTGATTCCTGTACTTCATTTTTTTCCTAAAACAAAAACTATATTTGGGACCAAAGCTATCTGGTAATGCCCCTTTTAAAATATAGATAGGATTGCCAATTTTGGCTGACCATGTTCCTGGAAGTTTGCTCACATGACATAATCTTTCATTCAAGATTAATTTTTAATTTCTGGAAACTCCAGGTCAATCCTGGAGGGTTGGCAACCCAGATTACAGGTGGTGACTACAAAATATTAGTGACTATAGCTGTCACATTCCTAAATCTGTACTTTGTGTAGCTCCTGTGAAAGGGTGCAAGAGTAATGTGGGAAACACATCCTTGAAAACAATTAACAAGGAGAAAGATTGAGCATGCATGTTACTTTGGGGTTCTTATGTTGCGCACTTGTGAGTGTCCTGAATGACTACTTTGGTGTAACAGTATCAGACTGCAGGTGCTTTGTGAAATGGTGGCTCAGATGGAAAATATCTATTTGTTGAGTAATTCTGTTGGCTTGTCAATTTGTGTCTATGGTTTAGTATGAGATTATGTAAAAGTTATAACCATGCTGATTTGGTGGTATATGCTACTCTTTTGTACACAGTGAATTAATTATTTTAAAAGTGATATATCCATTTTTTAAATTTGCAAAGTTACTAGTTCTCCCAATAATAAGAATCCATAAATTGCAAATGTTCTATAATTTCAAAAGGATTTTGCATTCATTGGGGAAAATCTAACTGCTTGTGTTAATCCCTACAAAATTTGAGATGCTTTTACCGTCAAACAGACTGGAAGTTTTTTGTATTAGAATGAAAGCATTGTATTATCAGTTAAAAGTTTAATATTGTGTCAGAGTTTCAGAATTCATTTTCAGAATCCTAGACATACATACAAAACTGCAAAATTTGAAAAGTCACAGGGCAGTCGTTTAAAACCTATTTGTGTATTTTGGGACATCTCAATAGGAGCTCTCTAATTTTTCTGTTTTTATGAACTGCAATGAAACTATTGGTTGTGGAACGTATGGGGTCAATTGTGTTTAAAGTTACGTTTGCTTGTCTGATAAGCCAAGTATGTCATTAAAATTATATAGATCTGCTTATATTGATGTGCAATTTAAAATGAGATAACATTGAGGTAATCATGTAGGTATTTATATTGATATGGCAGTAGTGAAGTGGGATATCTGTATACTGTACCCACATTCTGGCCTGAGCAAAATCACATGGACTTCCAGAAATAAGCAATGGTTTTTAAGAGCAGCTTTATTTAATGTTGCAGCAGCAAGTAAATGTTATTTGTACCATATACTTGTACATGTAAATTGGGTGCTAATAAATACTATTTTTCAACATTTTGTAGTGTCCATATTTTTGCCTCATAAGAAATATATAAGCATATAGAGTGTGGGGACACCCCAAAAGAGCCCTACAGATGTATATTAGCACATTCCATTGTGGGCCATGTTAGTATCATCTGAATTTTCCTTTTAAATTTGGCCTTTACAAAAGCAGTTCTTCTATTCCTGGGCCAAATATTATCTCCCTTTCCATTCTTTGTACTTGGTCTACATTTCCATATGCTGTTGTTTATGACTATGCCATCTTGACATCAGTGGCACCGTACCACTTATGCAATCTTAATGCACACAGCGCTTAGTGTCTTCACTGGGAGTTAGAGACACATTATTCCAATAGAGTAAATGCCTTTGTGTTGGGGGTTGATTATCACAGAGTGATGCAGTGATCTTGGGAGTAAGACAATGTGCTTCAACCTTACTTTCTCTAACATAAACAGACAGTAGCATGTACAATTTAAAAACTTGTACACACAATTCTTCCCCTGTGGAGAGGATGATAGAGAATGAATCACACAGGACAGAGGTCAGTCATGTTGCTTAATGCACTACTGGCAGATGCTCAGTGAAGAGGATGGTATAAAACTCTGTATGTAATTGAACAGAAAAACTTGTTAGCAAACACATCCTGTTTCCTCTGAGTTCAGAGTAGGATAGAGAAGAGCCCGAGCCTCCTTTCAGTGGCTGGGAGAATTGTCACTTTTCCCAATCCCCTCCACTGTAGGAAAACAGGAATTGCTAGAATGGAACAAAGGTGTGTCTAGTCCTATCCTGTCTCCAGCAATGGCCAGTATCCGATGTTTCAGTGGAAAGTGTAAAATGCTCTTATGTACAATTTAGCAGTAACCTGCCTACATGGGGAAGTTTCTTCCAAAGCCAACTACAAACTGTCAGAGTGTTATGAACTGAAGCATAAGGGTTTATATCCCTTATTAATGGTTGTAGTAGGTGCATAGTCTTATTGGTCATGAGAACAAAAAATGCCATTAATGTTAAGGTTGGTAGTAAGTATGTGTATGCAATGGAAATTTTAAAAGTATGGAACAAAAATTCTCTCTTTTTAATAATTGCAGGATTAAAAGTTAATCTAGACAACGTTTAGTAGACCCCAGAAAGAGGGATGAACTGCTGTAGAAGCAGGAAGAGCATACCCACCTATCCTGCCCTTCAGTATGACTAAGAGCTAGTTTAAACAATGTGGCTGGGACATTGCTAAATCTGTAATGTCCCCCAAGGCTCGGTCCTGTCACTTGTTCTGTTTAACAAGTAGGTACAGCTACATGGGGAGAATGAGACTTTATGGGCTATAAATAATGCCATCAGCCATGTAGATGATTCATCAAGCATAGACAGTTTTGTACCGCTGCTGTCCCACTGCCTGGTACATTTAAGAACCTGAATGAAAAATAGCTGGCTCAAGTTCTGTCCAGAAATGAGAGAACTGATGCTAATAGGCAGAGGGAAGTTGTTTAAGGAGCTAGCAGTTACTGTGATCTTGCTCTTGAGAGAGAGAGTGTCCATTTTATGGCTTAAGGTGATGCACAGTCTGGAAGTCCTCCCCCTTCCCCTCCCCACTATTTTGGGTGCTCGGATAGCAGCAGTAATGAGGAATGCTTTCTTTCCACTTAGGCTGGGCAGGAGACTCTGGACGTGGACCTGGCTATGGTGATCCATGCTTTAGTGACATGAAGAAAGGACTTTCTCATGGCCCCTATTGGGCTAGCTACTTCCAAAAGCTTCCCTGATCACTGGGAATGTATTACTCCAATATTTCATACAATGCAAGAGCTGCAATGAGCATGGAGAAGGGAAAATGGGTCTGCCCATCTCTTACAGGAGCAGCAAATGTGGGGATCTTTTCCCAAATATGAAAGCAGTGAATAGGGAATACGAAGGCCCCCCATCTGAAAGCTTACCGCCAGCCTTGGTAGCTGAATCCCCACAGAGCAACAGCAATACGGGGTCTCCTCCCAATTCCAGCCAGCCACCCAAGTGGTCACTGCAGGGCAGTGGGCCACTGGCCAAAGGGGTAGTGGGGAGTCCCAGCCCATCCAATATCTCCAACCCCACTTCCTGGTCCATGTGGAAGGCAGTGGTGGATCCACCATCATTTCCCTCCCCACAAAGTCCAAGGGAGGCAGTAAGGAATCTGCACTTCTGGCCCAGCAGTGGCTTCTCCACCCAGGCTGCACGCTACAGGAATTGAAAGGAAGGGGTATTTTGTGGGGCAGTGACGCAGCCTGCTCCACATGCCTTGAGCTGTATGGGACGTCACTCTCATGGGCCCCAGGCACAGAACCACTTCTGCCCAGAGCCAACTGTGCCCATAGTACAGGCACACCACTCCTTTTAGTCTTGCACAGACCCCCCTCCACCTGAAGCACACACTGGGATTGTATTCTGATAAGAGGGCTTGAATCTACCCGATCCCTCTTATTAAGATCATCTTGGTTTCATATCAAGTATTTGCTGTGGCAAGTCCTGGTGGGGGACATGAGGTATTAGGTGAGTGTGGCTGGTGTGCATGGGAAGGGGGAGCAGCAGGTACCCCTGTGCCGTCCATAGGAACAGGTTAGTATCCCTTTAAAAAGTTGGTGAGCTTTTCAGTGGCACTCACCATGGTGGTAGAAGCCACCGGCAGTCAGGCAGACCAGATGTATGCTATAGTGAGGCCTTGCGTGTGTGCATGTGATTAGTAAACACATCTATTGGGACCAAGCTATTCCCAGGTGATTTCTTTATGTTCTGGGAGATCGTCTGTCTAGCTGCTGTGGCACCTAATGCTGCTTAGCCCACCATTAGTTGCTATTGTGTACTCAGTGAGCCCAGTCAGCAAGGCTGCAGAAAGCATATATATCACTAAGGTACTGGTTACATGTATGAGTTATGATCTCTAGTGGCTAGCTCACAAAAGGATAAGGAGCTGCTGCTATCAGCTAAGGGAGTTTTCCTTCAGATCAAATGACAGAGCCTGTGCTTTTGGAGCTGAGAGACTAAGGGCTAGATTTTTAAAGGTAGTTAGGTGACTTAATGGGAGTTAGATACCTAAATATCTTTGACAACTGGCCCTGAGGCTCTTATTCCAGCTCTACATGGGTGTCTAGTTTATCTAGTAACACTTAGCTTTTAGCCATACACGGTTTCATTGCAGCAATGGAGTCAAATGTGTCATAGCCACCAACTCGGAAACCATGGGGGTTTCCGCACCATTCAGGTCTCGGAGGTCCACAGCTTTCACACTGATGTGTCCTAAAGATCCTCAGGCGCTATGTGAGACATGTTTCACCCCTTGTTCCCTCTGTCCTGACATCAACCTCCATCTCGGGTGCTGCGTATCAAATTCTGCTAGTTTACACTGCTTGGAGTTGACTTCCCCTTCCATGGATCTTTGCAAGATTTGCAGTAATTCAGCCAGGTATGTTCAACATAAAAGCACAGAAACCTTTTTATTTTAACACCATAGGTCTTGCTAACTTTGATGGTGTCTCTATTTTTAGGAAACCCCTATTTGCATTTTAAAAACTAAAATGCAGTAACAATATTTGGATGTACAGTTTTTAAAATAGTCTTCAATATGCAAGCTGTACTGCATACACCTTTTATGTTTTTTATTGCAAAAGGTTTAGCAACTTGTATTATGAAAAGCTCTTAAAGTAGCTCAGATGTGTTACAAAAGGAACTCTGCTTTCTTCACAAACAAATATACAAGAAAAAAAACTTTTTATGAGACGGTTTACAGATAACTTACTATCCCATGTTTTAACAAAACATTCTTTGCAGGGGCTTTTCCACAGATGACCTGTACTTTGGTTGCTGTCCAAGGTAAATGTTTTTTAATGTATAACAGGATATATTCTACACTTCTTCTATGCACTGGATTCCCATTGATATCAGTGGTAATTCCACAACTGTAGAATAAGCCCTTATCTTTTTATTTACAGTGTTTATGAAAAAGATACTTAAAATGAGACATTTCAAAACAAAACCAAAAATCACTTTTGGGGATTCTGACAATTTAAGGATCACTTCAAAGACGTAGGCAATGAAATTCTCGTGACATTCAGTCACCATACAAAACAGTTGTTCAATAAGTTTATGGTTTGGGTTTTTTTAAGTGGTTTACCTTGTTGCCTTTTGAAAAATAATCTTGCATGCTTGATATGGAGGATGGTCACTGAACTGTTACACATAAGTGAAGAGCATTTGAAAACCACCATGGTAAATGCTTATCAAGTTTGCTATTTTTTAAGATTAAAATGTTCAAAGAAATGAAAATATGTCCTAATGCATGCAAATTTGCCCTTATTGCTCCTAACTTCATATTCCCATGTTAGACCCCCTGCGCAAAACTGATCTACTCAGGGTTTATGAATGGTGTCAGAATTCGGGCCAGTGAGGGTACAAAGTGTCTTTGAAGTGTGTGTGTTTTGCTGATGGAAGGCTGCAAAACCTCATCAATGCAATAACTTGATAATCTCCTTGTTCTACTAATTCTATCTCAGGGTATCTGTATTGTGAAGTAATGCATGCCTACAAGCAATCACTCCAGATTGGCACAGATCCCTTCACCTCTGTCTCTGATTAAATGATTTCTTTTGGCTAATTAGGGTTGGAAGGATTGTATTTCTAATGATGTTTTTGAGTAGTAATTAATTTGAATGACATGTTTGTATTCAGATCCTGTTATTTATTCAAAGTGTAGTAGCTAGGAGAATTGAGCCACAAAAACTCATTTAATATTTCATCATTAATTTCTTACCCTTTCCTCCCGCCCCCCGGGCATTGTGGACTACAAATTCCAATATCCAGGGAAGTTCATGAACAGTCTTGTTTCTCTCAAGTAATATTTAACTCTTCTCACCTTTCCCTCCATGAACTGTGATAAACAATGAACATATATTATCAAGTTTTAGTGGGTGAAAAAAATAGATGCCAGCTGACACCAATTAAAGCCCAAGTCTTTCAAGACTTTAGTAATATATCACTTCTGGCACCATTTGCTGAAGATTAGTTCCTCATTTAAGAAGGCAGTATCATAATAGTATAATTGGCTTGGTCAAGCACACTCTGTGAACCAACAGACACAAAACCAACCCCAAATACTTCATCTACAGTGTGTGTCTCTACCATTGGGAAGTCCTGCTTTTGCCAATGTATAATACCCAATAATACAGTCAGACTGTGTTTCTCTTAAATCCTTAACAAAACAACTCTAGAACAGTCTTTTCTCTTCGTGCTATTGATCTCCATCCATACATCAGGGTGAAACCTAAAAGAGGAATGGTTTGGTGATAACGCAGTGGTTCTCAAACTTTTTTCATATTGTGTACCACTTAAGACGGAGGCCCTTCCAATGGTATCTCCTTCTTGAGCCCAGACCCTTCTTGCAGTAACTATCGTGCTTGGACACGGACAATAGGACAACGTTAAGAGGAAAAGATTCTAAATAAACTCCCTCTAATGCAATGGGTGGGGATTCTGGATTCCATGTTCCTGATTTTGTATGTACACCAGCTGCTTCCTCTCCATAGGTGCAGAACTTCATTAAGTTCAGTAAATGCCTGTAGACCCCACTGCTCTAATCTATCCAGGTCACTTTGCAGTTTGGCTCTTTCTCCTGTTAGTATCTATCAGCTTGAAATTATACCAAATGAAAACCTGTCAGAGAGACATAAAACAGCTGTCCAAAGTTTAAAAAAAAGGTGTTCTGGATTTTGTTGGAAAGCATCTCTGGAAACCCTGAGAGTCCTGGTCTGGACAACAACTAGCAGGAAGCATCACTGCTAGAAGACAGAGATGCTTCACCACTCTGATAGACACAGCTTGGTCTCTAACCGGCAGTATTCCACAGATCACCAGTGGTCCACAGACCACAGTTTGAGAAGCACTGTGACAGAGAATGTCTTTAAAGAGAGCTTCTGCAATACACAAAGGCCAAATGAAAATGTCCCTGGGATCTACACTGAAAAACCTTTTCAAACCTCTCTTCTGGAAACAAATTTTCAATCTACAACGCTGAGTCACTTGATTTATCTTTTCAAGGGTTGTAACTGTCTTTGTCTATCCAACCAAGTCAGAGTTTTGAAGCCAGAAAAAAAGGTAAAATAAAAATGCTTGTCTACACAGAGCTTTATCATGCATAGGGAATAGAGCTGAAATCAGCTTTGTTAACTGAAAAATGCCAGAGAATAACTCTTCTAGTATTTCTTGGACTCATAGCTGGCATTACTTGTATAGCATTTTGTGTATCTCCTGCATGACACCCAGTGACCCAGCGTTAGTATAATGCTTTGCCTACTTTCATCAGTTCCGGGGCTGTGAATTAAACTCTGTACAAATGTTCTGGATGATCCTAGGAACGAATCTGTAGAGGTGGTCAAATTCATCCACGAAGAAGGAATGTTCTTTATCCGGGTCTGTTGCAATGGCTTCCAGTTCATCCTGGGCTGCCCATGCAATTCCAATGGAATAAGCTATGACCTCTGAAAAGACAACCAGTGTTTAAAATGGCCAGGTGTGTTTTGAAATTAATTTTACAAAACCTGCTCCCACAATAAATGTGATGTTCAGGGCATAAAATGAAGGGATCAGACTCTGGGCTGTGGCTTCTGAGAGACGTTATAGAAGGTGCAGCCAATGGGCTGCTCTTATGTACAGCAGGCTCTGAAACTGAGTGTTACAGTTAATGTCCCTCCCACCCTCAATACAATGCCTACACTGGGGTCTCTGAAAGGAGCTGCATAGACTCACATACATCAGACCTATGTTTCTTCTGTACCAGGAAAATTCTCCATGTCCCATTGCCGCTTATTTTACGGCCTCTATGTGAGCGTCCAACAAGAACTGAACCACTTATACCGGCTGCGGTGTGAAGGGCAGTGTCAGCCCTGAAGAATAGGTCTTGCCAACGGCAGAAAGGTGTCAGACAGTAGTAAGCTGTTGCCTGAAAGCCTGGCACAGAATGTGTTTGAACATCCTACACTGAAAGCAAAAGTGAGCTTCATACACACACTTCTTGTATCTGTAGGCCTACAGAAACCCATTGAGCACTGTAATGTGTGAGATACATCCTGTCTGACAAATCTGACTACACTATTTTCTTACGGGCTTCCCATCCATTTACTCACCCACCTTCATCTTGATTAGCTCTAACAAGGCTATAGCTTAGGGTGGTGAGCTGCCCAAAAGTCCATCTACTGCCATAGTGCAATGACCACTCTAACTGCCTTAGCTCCATACATGTTAAGCTACTGTATATAGGTGGAGTGGGCCACCGCAGCAGAAGATAGCAGTAGTTTACCATTTTGATGAGCTGTCATGGCTGGCACTCTGACATCATCATAAGACCTGCCATCTGTAATGAGAACCATTATCTTCCTCTTGTTGGGTTTGGATTTGCTGAAGAGCTGTTTAGAGGCATAGTTGATGGCTGCTCCAGTGCTGGTCCCTCCACTCCAGTAGTTGATTCGCTTAATAGCATTCAGAACATCTTGCTTAGTGCTGTGTTTGTCAAATCCAAACTCCAGCCTCTGCTCATAGGTGTACTGCACAGCTCCAATACGGGTGTCGGTGTCTGAAATCTCAAATTCTTTGCTTATGTTGGCTACAAATTGGAGGACAGTGCGGAAATTGCCAGTGCCAACGCTGCTGGAACCATCAATTACAAAGCCAATGTCAGCTGAATTTAGACACGTCTTGCTGCAAGCCAGCCGAGCGGTGTCACAGACCCGTTTCACCAAGGTCTGGACTACCTTGCGTAGGTTGAACCAGCTTGGCACGTTAATGGAATAGAAGCCATTTGTTCTGCATACAGCCTGCAGAAAGATGCAAATGCAAAAGTAAAAAGGCACTTATTGGGCATAATGTGGATTTAGTTTAATTACACAATCAAATTCTGCTGCCTTTCTGAGAAAAATCTATATCTCATATAAAGTGTGTTCAACTAAAGCACTAGACATCCTGCCCCGGCATTTATAAAATATGCGATGGAGCTGTCAATGTAAACTGTCAGAATTCAATTCACTATGAAATTCCACCACCCTCTGAATTTGGTTCTGTACACAGGTTATTTCAGAGTTAGGCCAAGTGTCAAAACTACAAATTCATTTTCATATATCTTCATTTAGTTCAGAGTTATACTCTGTACAAAGTGGCCTTCTTTTGGAGTTCCTTGTTTGACTGGCAATGGCTCCAGATCACATCCCCTCCAGTTAAAAGTAAAAAGATGAGGTTTTGTCCACCTATCAGTCCTGCAAATTCGACATGGTACCTGAGAGTCAAGCTGGGTTCTTTCTGGCTCATGCCATCCCAACGAGAAATCAGGATCATGAAACAGAAATGTGGCAACAGACAAATGTTGGTGATGCATAAACTAAAGGAGAATCCGCCATGGTTGTGTTGGCTCCCCAGTGCAGTGGAAGCAAAATTTCTTACATTTTTACAGCTTAGTCAGTAACTTAAGCAGTTATGACTCTGAATGCGCATAGGGAGCAGGTGGGGGGAAGCTCTTCCAGACCTAACAAGAGGAGTTGGGAACTTGTGGTGAAGGAATGGATTTCTGGCTGGCTGGCTGGGGGCAGGGAGAGAGGAGGCTGGAATGTGGAGTATGTTGTAGGTAGGAGAGGTAGATTCAGAATTGTTTTAAATGTAAAATCTTTAAGATGTTCCAACTAACTTGTTGAGGTCATTTGATGAGCCAGATTGTGTGTCTGCTCTTCATCATCTACCTGAAAAGAGGGTTCAACTGTTTCTGTAGTAGTGTCCTCCCTGGTACATTTGGTGTCAGCAAATCTATCTCACAACAGCTCTAAGTTAGTTCTGTACACATCGGTTTAGGCTTCACGTCATAGCCTCACCATGTTTATTTTCTTCTACCTTGCTGCTCTTTTTATGTTCTGATGCTGCCATATACAGCCACAAGATAAAGTCATAGAATCATAGGACTGGCAGGCATCTCGAAAGGTCATCTAGTCCAGCCCCCTGAACTCATGGCAGGACAAAGTATTATCTAGACCATTCCTGACAGGTGTTTGTCTAACCTGGTCTTAAAAATTTCCAAGGACAGAGATTCCACAAGCTCCCTAGGCAATTTATTCCAGTGCTTAATCACCCTGACAGTTGGGAAGTTTTTCCTAATGTCCAACCTAAACTGCCCTTGCTGCAATTTAACCACCCTTGCACCTCTTGCTTTTTGTCCTAGACTCAGAGGTTAAGGAGAGCACTTTTTTCCCCTCCTCCTTGTAACAACCTTTTATGTACTTGAAAACTATTATCAGGTCCCCACTCAGTCTTCTCTTCTCCAACCTAAACAAACCCACATTTTTCATAGGTCATGTTTTCTAGACCTTTAAGCATTTTTGTTGCTCTTCTCTGGACTTTCTCCAATTTGTCCACATCTTTCCTGAAATGTGGCGCCCAGAACTGGACACAATACTCCAGTTGAGGCCTAATCAGTGCAGAGTAGAGTGGAAGAATTACTTCTTGTGTCTTGCTTACAACACTTCTGCTAATACATCCCAGAATGATGTTTGTTTTGCCAGCTTTGCCTTCCTGTTTGGGCCCTCTGCTCTCTATCTTCCATGCTGGCTCTGGCAGGGTCACAGAGCCTCACTGTAGTTTTGCCCTTTTAAAAAATAAATGAAAACAAGACTATAAGCCAATGAAATGCATCCTGGAGACAGCCCAGCTAATGCCATTAAGGAAATGTATTTCATGGCACAGTGACAGTGGAAAGTGCACAAAATCATCTTGCAGGGTGGCTCAGAGAACAAGTTGCTTTCTGAAAATATTTCTAACTTCCACCCTGCTTCCTGAACCCTGGCTGATCTGGCATATCACACCTCATGTCACAGCTTCATGCCAATTGGCCCTGCAGTACTTTTTAAATTGACATGAGTATTGGCTGCCTATCTGAAATGGTTTAAGACTAGACCACCATAGGGTAGATAGTAGGGATTCACTCTTATTCCAAGCATAACCAGAAGTTTCATCTATTTATAACACAGCAATGGAGACAACATACCTATCCTGATTAGCTGAATAATTAGTATGTGCCCATGTGTTATGATTTCTCATTTAGACGTTTGTGGCTTTTATTTTGTTCTGTTGAAGAAATCTCACAAAAGCAGGCTGAGCTCCAGGTGTGTTCGGTATATGTAGTATTTTTAGGTTGCACCAAGTATCTATCAGTCTCTGTGGTACCCAGGTGCAATGACTTTTATAAGAACCAAATAGCACCACAGGAATGGGATGATGTTTCTTCAAGGATGTGTGGGCTTTCCTGACAGACCTAGGTAGATACAGTCCTGGAGACTTAATATTCCAGCTGTTTGCAGGAAGGGAGTAGATTTTAAACAAAACTACTATTTCTGTCTCTCTCAGGAATCTATATGGCTCTTATTACTGTACTACGTGTGAGCACCCCACAATCTCATGTATTTATCTATCCTCACAATGCACCTGTGAGGTAGACAAGTAGTAGTATTTCCATGTTACGAATGGGGACTAAGGCACAGAATTAGGTTTTGCATGCAGCCTGAACATAGGTACCTAACTCTGTAAGAGGAGAGGGGCTTAGGACACACACACCCCCCATTGGCTAGTTTAGGCTACTCCCTGCATAGCTTTCTGGCTGTTGTTGATCCCACCCTGAGGTGTCTCTCTCTCCCCATTCATTGTATAAAGAGAGTTGGCACCTAAATAAGGAATTGTGGATCCCATTGTTAGTCCAGTGATTTTCTAGGTGCCTAAAAGCTAGGCATTGTGATGCTGGGCATTGTAATGCTTAAGTCCATTTGTGGATCCAGGCCAGAGAGTCTAAGGGGATGTCTACACTGGCAGAGTTACAGCGCCACTCAGAGAGCGCTGAAGGGAAACCGCTGTTGTGTGTTCACACTGCCAGCTGCCTGCGCAATAGCGTGTTCACACTTGTGGCACTTGCAGCATTATTAGGAGCAGTGCACTCTGGGTAGCTATCCCACAGAGCACCTCTTTCTCTTCTTCCGATAAGAGTTGTGGGAAGGCAGAGGGAGTCACGGGGCATCCTGGGTCCTGCCCAATGCCCTGAGATGCATTGCTTCGGATCCCAGCAATCCCTGTGCTTCCGTCTGCATTTGGCGCCATCTTTCAACGGTTTGTGTACTGTGCGCTCTGCCTCTTCGGTCTGCAGGAATGGATCCCGCACTACTGACCAATATGCTGCTTGCTCTGACCAACACGTCATGAGCGGCCATGGAGTTATTCTTTAAACTACAAAGGCAAGAGGAGTGTGACATTGATCTCACCACGCGTAGTAACTATGACACAAGATTGCTTGTGGCATTCCCAGAGGTGCTGACCACAGTGGAACACTGCTTTTGGGCTTGGGGAAATGAGCACTGAGTGGTGGGATCGCATCGTCATGCATGTCTGGGACAATGAGCAGTGGCTGCAGAACATTCGGATGAGGAAAGCCACATTCATGGGATTGTGCGATGAGCTCGCCCCAGCCCTGCGGCACAAGGACACGAGAATGAGAGCTGCCCTGCCATTGGAGCAGCACGTGGCGATTGCACTGTGGAAGCTGGCTACTCCAGACTGCTACGGCTTGGTCACTAACCAGTTCAGAGTGGGAAAGTCGACCGTTGGACTTGTGTTGATGGAAGTGTGCAGGGCCATTAATCGCATCCTGCTCTGAAAGACTGTGACTCTGGGCAATGTGCATGACATTGTGGATGACTTTGCACAAATGGGATTCCCTAACTGCAGGGGTGCAATAGATGGCCCACATATTCCAATTTTGGCACCAGACCACCTAGCCACCGAGTACATTAATGGCAAGGGGTATTTCTCAATGGTTCTCCAGGCGTTTGTGGATCACCGTGGGCATTAACACAGGCTGGTCCAGAAAGGTGCATGACGCATGCATCTTTCGGAACAGTGGCCTGTTGAGGAAGCTGCATGCAGGGACTTCCTTCCCAGACCAGAAGTCTGGTAGGGGATGTTAAAATGCTCATTGTGATCCTGGGAGATCCTGCCGATCCCTTAATGCTGTGGCTTATGAAGCCATATACAGGGAACCTTGATAGCAGCAAGGAGCAGTTCAACAACAGGCTGAGCAAGTGCAGAATGACTTGTGTGCTTTTGGATGTTTAAAGGCCTGCTGTTGCTGCCTATATGGGAGGCTGGACCTGGCCGATGACACTATTCCATGCTGATAGCCGTGTGATGTACGCTCCATAATATTTGAGAAGGGAAGGGTGAAAGCTTCACTCAGGGCTGGATCACTGAGGCTCGTAGTTGCTCTGTTTGCAGCGCTAGCAGCGTCTGGAGTGTCCGCTTGGTGCTCCATAACATTTAAGAGCCGCCGTTTGGCTTCGTTCTGTTGCACCGCATTCTCCTTTAGGTCCCTCTTCTCGCTGTCCTGCCACTCCTTCAACTCTTGTTTTTCGGCCGCGGAGTGCATCGTGACGTCACGCAGAAAGTCCTCTTTATTTCTTCGGGGCGACTTTGTAATTCTGCGCAGCCTTTCAGCCGGCAATAACAAAGAGGGAGGCTGGGCTCCCAAGGTCATATCCCTGAAGCCAAAATGCAACATTTTACAGAACCAGTATTGTCTGCAACACACAGCCCACTGATCTAAACCACAGCCTCTATTCACATATCTATAACTAATTAGCTGACCCCAGGCAAGCACACATGAGGCACAGGGCCCCCAAAATGGTGAGTAACTGTAGGGGCAGGGGAAATCAGTGTTTCAGGACCATACTGTACATGGGGCAGGTGGCTCTGGGGGAGAGCCAGCACTGTGGGGGGGCCTTATAATCATTACTGTCCCCACATTTTCCACAGGCTGTGTTCATTATGGAAGATATCTCACTGCTAAGGGTGAGCATGGAATCAAAGGAGAGTCTTCTCCAAGACTGCAGCTTCTGCCCATGTGCAGAAATAGTACTTCCTGTCCCCAGTGACGGCACAGGGGTGCGGGAAAGTTACCCTTAATGGGGCAAGAAACAAAGCAGCTCTGCCAAAGAACCTGTGGCCGGGGATTGCCCAGTATCTCCCTGAGAGTTTCCTGGAGCTCTGAGGCAGATTCCTGTGAAGTGAGGGAGTCCATCAACACCCTGTTCTACTGATTGGCCTAGGCATGTGGTGGTACGTGCAACATACAGACACAAGCAGTGGTGAGCTGGAGCCGGTTCCCACCGGTTCGCTAGAATCGGTTGTTAAATTTAGAAGCCCTGTTAGAACTGATTGTTCTGCGAGGGACAACCGGTTCTAAAAGAGCTTCTAAATTTAACCGGTCAAAAGTGGCGCTGACTCCATGGGTGCATTCACAGAGGTGCTGACCACTGACCATAGTGAAACGCTGCTTTTGGGCTTGGGGAAACCTGCACTGAGTGGTGGGATCGCATTGTCATGCATGTCTGGGACAATGAGCAGTGGCTGCAGAACATTCGGATGAGCACCCAAGGGGAAAATTTGGTGGGTGCAGAGCACCCACCGGCAGCCTCCTCTGCTCCGCCTAAGTGTGCCAGGGTCGGGGGTGGGCAACAACCCCCTCGTGCGGTGAGGAGGGAACCAGTTAAGATTTTGGCAGCTCATCACTGGACACAAGCCAGCTTTCTGCCTCCCTCCCCCCCACAACAACTTGCTTCAGTGATTCCCAAAATCAAAGTCACTTACAAGGGTCCTCCTCTACTGATTGCGCTTTGCCAAGATCTGACAGCTGTGACTGGCTAGGCTCCCCCGGGGTAGAAAATAGCTCCTGGCTGCATGCATCTCTGACCTCCGAGTCATCCTCTGCCTCTGGGTCCCCCTCCCCCTCCACATCCTTGTCCAAGATTTCCTCCTCCTGCTCGGTCCGCTCTCGACTGGCACGCGAGCTACCGAAGTATCCACAGTGGTCTTCACAGTGGAGGTGGGGTCGCCACCGCATATGGCGTCCAGCTCTTTGTAGAACTGGCCACTCGTGGGCACAGCACCAGAGCGGCAGTTTGCCTCCCATGCCGTGTGGTGGGCGTTCCGCAGCTCCTGCACTGCAGCGTGTCCCGGTCATGGCCCCTTTCTGTCATGCATCGTGAAATCTGTCCATAGGTATCATAATTCCTACGGCTGGAGCGCAGCTGGGACCGGACAGCCTCCTCGCCCCAAATGCCGATGAGGTCCAGCAGCTCGGCATTGCTCCAAGCGGGGGATCACCTGGTGCGTGGAGCTGCATGGTCACCTGGAGAGATGCGCTGAGACCACTGCAGGCGTCACCGAGCAAACAGGAAGGGGACTTTCAGAATTCCCAAGGAATTTACGGGGTGGGGATGACGCTTGGTCACCCGAGGGCAGGGCAGTCAAGTTCAAACCGATGACCAGAGAGGTGAGGACAGGCATCGTGGGACACCTCCCGGAGGCCAGTCGCAGCACTGTAATCGACCAGGAGGTCTACACTGGCGCCGTGGCGCTGTAGCCCCGGTGCAGAAAGCTCCAAGCCTCTTGTCAGGGTGGTTTTTTTACAGCGCTGCAACTGCACAGTTTCTGCGCACCCAGTGGCGTGGCCGTGCGTGCACCTCGGGAGTTACAGCGCAGAAAGCTGCTTTACTCCGCAGAAACTTGCCAGTGTAGACAAGGCCTTCTACAAGGTTGCCCCGGAAGTCTGTGGGGGAACAGGGAAATGAACTGAGCTCTTCCAAGCCCCAGGCCTAGCAGCCTAGGCACTAAAGTTTGAGTTATAGTTATTACTTCATATGGGAAGCATGCTGAAGGCAGCGTTTAAGAAGAATGTCTTCATAACATCTACAAAAGGGTTGAGGAATGCCTGTTATGCATGTCCATTGGCTGCTGTACTCAGTGACATTTAAAATTTAGAAATATGTATTTTCATAATACCCAAAGGTTTAGTCTTCTGCAAGGACTCATTAACAACTGTTAATGGAAACACTAGAAATATTAACTAGTAGAGGGGTCAAAAGTGTTGGTTTCTGATGAATGCTCTAGGAGCATGGCTTGGACAGATTTATTGATGCTAGAAGTCTTTTCTCTAAGCCACTGATGTGTTTCTAGCCTGGGTAGCGGATGGTCAATGGATCAAAAATTGTGGGTGTCACCTAATTTATTAATATCATTTCAAATAATTGTCTGTTCAGCAACACCTCTCAATCACATTTTTAAGTTGTCTGTTTTTACTAACTTTGGGCTATTGTGCCTTCTCTTGGATGTGGAAACGGGAGTTGTTTATGACCTTAGTACTAGCATGGGACTCAAGGGCTTCTCATACTTTGTTGAAGGGGAGAATTACAGTGTAGGTACAAATAAAAACTTTCGAGTTAGTTACACAAGTGTAAACTCAGAGTAACTCCATTAGCTTCAGAAGAATTACTCCGGATTTACACCTGCGTTTTGTAACTGGAAACAGAATGTGGTTTTAACGTCATAACCCATACAAATCCTAACAACAACAGAAATTATTTCATTAAAAGAGGCAACAGCCATGCTTTAATATATACAACACTAGTTTCTACTGTAGCTGTTCAAGATAATAATCATATGAGAATTCAAGTGGGGAAGGATGGTATTAGGAATGCTGTGATTTCAAGGGAAGGTATTTTTGCAGGCTATTTATTTTTGTGGTCTGGTATTTTTGTAGTGCAGGGATATAAACAAAAGCTTTATACAGCCTTAATTCCAGCCTTAAAAATGGTATTTGTTTGTAGCTCAGCTCATTCATGGAATATAGAAAAATGGGATTAGAAATGGAAAAGACCTACAGTGTTTAGTTATCTGTCCACATTTGCCTGCCAGTGCAGAATTGTGGCTCGCAGACTGTTTTCTAACACTTTGTCCAGCCTAGCTTTACAAGTCCCAAATGGTATGGTTTTCACCACTTCCCTTGGGAGACTATTTCATAGTTTAATAGATCTCACTGCAAGGAAGTTTCCCTCTCTATTCCTTAGCCAATAAAAATGTTACTGGTTCTTCATTTCAGCAATCCTTTTCTGGTATAGGCAGAATGTAATATAGCAAGCCTCAAACCTAGGGTTACCATACATCTGTATTTTCCCGGACACGTCTGGCTTTTTGGTTCTTAAATTGCCGTCCTGGAGGAATTTTTAAATATCTAAAAATGTCTGGGATTTTGCCATTATTATTTTTCCCCAAAGAAGAGTTGATCATTCGAGAAAGAAAGTGAATTTTGATCACTTGAGAGAGTGCCCACATTTTCCCCCTAGCTCCCAGCGCTTGCCCCGCAAAACAGCTGTTTCGCAAGGTGGGGAGGAGGGGGACACGAGCACCACCTTCCCTTTTTTGAATGTTCAAATATGGTAACCCTACTCAAACTTGAGACAAATAGAATTATGAATCCATGACGAGCATTGCTGCCATTGCTATTCAACATTCAAATGTTAGATCCTACGGCAGTTCTTAGAGGGAAGCCATAACTATAAGAAGGAAAAAAAGGGGGAGGGAGAAGAGGAGAGCAACATCATACAAGATGGGCTCAAATCAAACTAGGAGATCCAAACACCCTGAAAACCTTAGTAACATTCAGGCCTACCTCCAGCCTTTACACTGTAAACCCAGATCTAGTTTCATGTACCCCATTCCTCAGTACCTTGTCCACAAAGTTGGGTTCAATAACATTCTGTTTTTCGTTTTCATCAGCTCCTTCAATAGTGACAAAGAAAATGTTGATTCCAGATTCTCTCGCCAGTCTGGAGGCCTCCTCCACCTTATCGGTGGGCCATCCATCCACCAGCACTATGGCCACATTGGGTGCTCCACCTCGGTTTCCATTGGTATCCAAAAAGAAGTTTTTGTTAACAAATGAAAGTGCTTTCCCTGTAAGAGAAGTGAATAGGAGGCGGATTTATCCTGTTTACAGTAACCAGTCTCTTTAGACATGGCAACACTGAACTCTGAGATAGTGTTACTCACTGACCTAGAGGTCAAATTCCAGTCCTAGAGCACTGGGAAGGGGTGCATTAGCAAAGACAGAGTAGAGGCAACTTGACATGGCTACAGAAACACGAAGGGGAGCCACCTGCAATGGTCCAAGTATATGCCCTACCCTGGTTCTAACAGAGGGGTGAACTTCACCCTTTCTCTGCTCCTCCTTATTAGCACTGATGAGCAAAGAGAGCACCAGGCTCAGATGTGCCAGGTGAGCTGCTGATGAGGTTGAAGGAGAAGAGTGACACCCCAGAACTCTAAACTTTCCTGAAAACCAAACCAAGGCAGGAGGGGTGGGAACTAGAATTTAAAAAATATAATTAAAAAAAATATCTTTTACATAAGGTGGGCTCAAAATCTCACCAAATAATGCACATAAGTTATTAAAAGGTCTTTGCTAGCTCCTTTCTCCCCAAATCAGTCCAATGGAGGGAGCAGAGACGTTCTAATACCCTTGCTAGTCTGATGGCAATATACGCATCAGAGGGTGCCCGAAGCATGCTCCTGAGCATGAGGTCATCAGCTGACAAGGCTGGTTCCATGGTGCTACAAGGAGCTTATTTGCCCACTAGATCTAGGATCCTACATCCCCAGTCTTCCTCGGGCTAGGAGCTGCAGATATGCTACCCCGTGCCACATACCAACATTGGAACGTCCTCCTTTCTGTGGAATTTTCTCAATGGCATTTTTCACATCCCGGGAGTTTGCATGAGTTTTGAGGTTAAATTCTGTAGAAGGGTCATCACTAACATGTAAATAAGACAAAAAGAAAAGCAGCCATCAGTTTTTGTTTCACATGTAGCATGGTTCCATTTATAATCACTTTAGTAATGCTCCATGGGGAAGGAAGAGGAAGACTCATCTCGTAAGGCAGTTCATTACATAATAACAGAGGAGACCCTTAAAAGGAAGTCTCTACTGTTTCCTATGTAAACATATAGGTATGCCTGTAAAACACAAATGATAAAGTAACAGGCATTCGTGAAGACATACCAATGGAATCTTAAACATTTCTACGGCAGTGGGCATCTCTGAATTCATTTAGCAGAGCCGTGGTTTTCAACCTGTGGTCCACGGACTATGTCTAATGGGTCCTCACCTCCATTCAAAAGTTTTTAGGGGTCAGCAAATGGAAGAAGGTTGAAAACCACTGTAGTAGAGGCTACTAGCTTGCATGTGGTAATGGTGTAACAGAGAGTCTTAGTTATATGAATTATAGGGCTTCGCTCGTTTGAAAGCTATTTTTAGATAACTTTACAACACGTATATTAAAAAAAAAAAGCTTGGTGTGTAATTTTGTTTCACCTTTTAGCACTCTGCTGCTATTGGTGTTATAAATTGAACTTCAACGCCTATTTTGTACTAGTCTCATTAGTTTACAAGGCTACTTCCTGCTTCAGAAAACCCCCTCATTTATTTCAGTGTTTTTTATCACTTTGTTATTAGTTAGCAGGAAAAAGAATAAAGACATTTAAGGCTAGAAGGGACCTTTATGATCATCTAGTCTGACCTCCAGCATCTTGTTTACTTTTGTCTATGTTCACTCTTTGAAAATAACAAAGTAGATTTTTCCCATAGACCTTTTTATTCAGTCTCATAATATCCCAAATGTTATTCCCCAAGTTTCCTAAGTTGAATTTTAGGTAGTTTCTCTCATTTAGAAGAGATGTGGTGTTAAAAATAAAAAGCGATCACTCCAAAAAGAGTTGGGAACAGTGCAGTAGGGACCCTGCACAGCCTGAGGCAGAGCCAGACATTACGGGGAGACACTCTTACCCATACTGAACAATGCCCATGAGAGGACCAGCTATGCCAACATCAAGAGCTTGAGCCACATCACTGAGGAATTGTTTTTGGATCTGAAAACGGCGTTTACCGATGCTCCAGCTCCCGTCAATCAAGAAGGACAAATCAACTTTGCAGTCTGAGACAGGAAATAATAATGAGAGAATAAATGTGAAGGGTGTTGTTGTTGTTTCTTAGATTTGATTTTCCTCTGATGAGAAATCAAGGCATCAAAGTTATATCTGACAACCTATCCCACTATGTGACTGCAGCAGAAAATTCTCATTCCTATTCATTTTCAAAGGATCATTATATCATCTAGTCTGACCTCTTCTATAACGTGGGCAAGAGAATTTCACTCAGTTATGTCTGTATTGGACCCAATAACTATAACAGTCATGGTATACAACTTTGATCATTAATCCTACTCACCAGATACAGGGAAATCCATTCAATCTGCTAAGACCCCGAAATTCTGACTCCAGCCGTACCTAGTAGGTCTCTCTCCCTTTGCTGCTGGGCCCATTTTCTGAGTGATTCCCTCCTCCCTCCATTAGATCTGCTGCCAAGCCAGTACAGCCCCAATTCCAGGAGCCAGGCCCGCTCAGTCAGTTACCCCAGATGAAGGGAGTGCTCCTGTTATCAGTGCCCACTTGCCTAGGTCTCATTCCAGGCACAGCAAATACAGGGCATAGTTAGCAAGCTTCCCCCTGGCAGGATCCAAATTCTGTGTCTGATGGCATATTGCAAAGCCATAGCCCTTGGACTGTAGAATTCACATGACCCTCCATGTAATATTTTAACCAGCCAATATCTCACACATGCTTCCCAGCTCAGGTAGACAGTCACAGGCTAGCTCTTCTTGAGTAAGCAAGCTGAAAACCGCAGTGTAGCCAGAGGTAGCACGGGCCATGGCTCAGGCTAGCTGCCCAAGTATGTACCATGGGGGTCCGGGAGGGTTTATACTCAGGTGGCTAGTCCAAGCCGCTGCCTGAGCTGCTACTCAACGACACTGCTGTTTTAGATGCTAGCTCAAGCAGAGCTTACACGTGTCTGTCTACCCACCCTGGGAAGCAGGCACTGTAGATGTACCCTTTGCTTTGAGTAAGTTAAGAGTCTGTTGCTATTTTTTTCCTAACGTAGAAAAAATTATTATTTACAGCAGATGAGAGACATGGCTAAACAGAAACTTTTAAGGATGTCTAGGTTAGTCTATTGTAAAGGAATATATGTTCCAAAAATGTGTTTTTCCCTAATAGCTAATGTTTGGTTAATTTCTTGACTATATTCTTAAAAGTCCGATTCACATAACAGCAAAAGATCATTATGACTTAATCATACAATTAATTCTGATTTACATACTTGGGTTTCCCTGGGAAACTGGCTCCAAAGGTTTCGGATTCAATTCTTCCTTTGAACTGATGCCTGGAGAAATAAAAAGAAAAGTTTAGACGCTAAATGTGCAAGAAACTGTTCGGAGTCTGCCCTCACTTATAGGAAGAAGGCAAGGAGTGAACAGATGCATCTTGTTCCACATATGACTAAGAAGACGGGTCTGAAAGAGATTTGAGCTGCCTCTTGTTATTTTGGTCAGGTGACATGTAAAACACTGCATCCCGGGGACACAGGGACATGTTGCTTGCCTCCACTCCTGTTACTGATTAGAAAAGGAAAGGATTGGGATCAGATTATTATAACTGCTTCACATTGACCTTACACTAGGTCAAGGGTTCCCAAACTTGTTCAGGGTAAGGCCCTAGTGGGCCGCGAGACGCTTTGTTTACCTGAGCGACCCAGTGGCTGCGGTTCGCTGGTCCTGGCCAATGGGAGCTGCAGGAAGCAGCATGAGCCAGTCCATCGCTTCCCACAGCTCCCATTGGCCGGAAACTGTGAACCGCGGCCACTGGGAGCTGTGAGCGGCCGTACCTGCAGACTCTCAGGTAAACAAAGCGTCTCACGGCCTGCCGGGGCTTACCCCCAACAAGCCGTGAACCAAGTTTTGGAACCCCTGCACTAGGTCTTAGTTCTTTTGCTTAATGGAGATGTCCATCTACTCATCCTGAAATCTTCTAATCAGAGGAGAACTATTAAACCAGGGTGCCAGCTATATTCCATGTCTAAAACTGATGAGGAGAAGACTAAAAAGTCAGTAACATATGGCTATTTCCAATTTTTTTTACACATTCACTCAAAGGCTAAATTTGCTCCTAAAATCTGACAAACATATATGGCAAAAAGACTGGAGAAAGGGTTATCATTTTGTATCCTATCCTGGTACCTCCAGATGGTTCAGAGCAGTGGCTCATTTAAAAGGTTTACTATCCAGCAGCCAAATCTGGTGGTGCAGACTTTTCTGAGTTCCTCTTCTGAGCACAGTTCTATTTTGTGTTGTTTGCTAGAGGTATTAAATTTGGCTTTTCTGATAGTAACAACCTCAGTGAAATGAATTAAACAGGTGATCTGTTCATGAAACGAACGCTTCTGGAATCTCTCTCAGAAGGTGGTCCTTACTACAGCTCTCAAATTTGTTGCAAAGATTAATTCAAATTTTTCATTCAAATCTGTATATTTCACTGTCTTCTCTTTGCTGAAAGCCACAGCAATCAAAGGAAGATTACTATACTGACTGGATGTTAGAAGGGAAGGGAAATAATGTGAGGAATTGAGAGTTGATTCTCCACTGCCTTGCACCTTCATTTACCCCTGTTTAAAATGTATATAAAGTGGGAGCACCATTCTGCCTTACTAGCAGCTTACATGTCCTTTGCACTGGTGTAAATGACTACATAAGGTTTCAAGGCAGTGGAGAGTCAGGCCCCTCATGTCCTGTTTTCCTATATGGAGATAGGAGCAAGGACAGTGAGCATCCTAACACATTATATCCAGGTAAGTGAAGCAAGTCATTAAGGAGGTCTTTTCTATGAGAGTTAGGTTCTTCTTTTGGGGGAAGAGAGAAAACAAAGTAAGGTCTGATCCAAGCCCCATTGAAGTCAATGGAAAGATTCCCAGGGCCAAAATGTGGAATCTGAAAAGCAGCAGCCTGAATGTCTGTTTATCCCTTCATAAGACAAACTCAAGTAGATGTGGCTTGGGAGAGGTAGCACTGGATCACAGAGTATTGAAGAAGCAGCATAAGGATGATTAAAAGAGTTCAACCTGACTTCAGTTCATGATTTTAATGTCTGGCCATTTTTTCCTAAGTTAAAGCAACTCACTTCTGCCTAAGTGTAAGAAGCTATGAATAGGACAAGATATGGGAAGATCAGCAGGGACAATACTGCAAATAAAGAAAAAAAACCTACCTATGTAGGAGGATAATTGTTTTGTTTCCTTAAGAGACAGTGAACCGGTGATTATACTTGTCTATCACTGAGACAAGTAATAGGAGAACCCCCACAAATCTTCATCAGCAGGCAAATGGAGGAAATACTGCAAACTTCAAAAGGAAACCAGCAAGAGGGTAACATTAAAAGTGTGTCTTAATTACAGACAAAAGTTTAGAAATTATAAAGTGCCTCCGGGTTCCTCTTTCCCATAAAGCTGCCAGCCACCCACACGTTAATTGGTGTCAGTATGAACGTACGTAAAGAGAGCGGATAACCAAGAATATCAGAGGAAGCTACCTCTGAGCTCTGAAGGGAACTGGCAAGCTTTGAATTCCTGAAGCATCTAAAACTGATCAGGAGAAGACTAAAAAGTCAGTAACACATGGCTATTTCCAATTTTTTTTTACCCTGCAGATACCAATGATCAGATCATCAGGGAAGATAGACCCAAGCCAAGAGGAAGAGGAGAAGCCAACAGTGCTCCCTAGTTACAGACCAATTCCCGGTGCCATGGTATTCTGATAACTAGGGTTACCATACGTCCGTATTTTCCCAGACATGTTGGGCTTTTTTGGTTCTTAAATCGCCATCTGGGAGGAATTTTTAAATATCTAAAAACATCCGGGATTTTGCCATTATTATTTTTCTCCAAAGAAGAGTTGATCATTCAAGAAAGAGAATGAATGTTGATCATTCGAGAAAGAAAGGGAACGTTGATCACTCAAGAGAGTGCCCACTTTTTCCCCCTAGCTCCCAGCGCTTGCACCATGAAACAGCTGTTTCACGCGGCTGGGAGGAGGGGGGCAGAGAGGGAATGTGGGGCGCTCAGGGTAGGAGGCGGAGCCAGGGTGGGGATTTGGGGAAGGGGTCCAATGGGGCAGGGAGTGGGTGGAGTTGGGGCTGGGACTTTGGGGAAGGGATTGGAATGAGGGTGGGGAAGGTGCGGGGCGGGGGGTGCGAGCAAATACTCTCCCCCCCCTCCACCCCGTGGAGTGTCCTCTTTTTTGAATGTTCAGCTATGATAACCCTACTGATAACTAATCTTCACAAAGTACTAGCTCTTAATACACTCCAAGCACTTGCATCCACATAAACATGGACATTCCTTTGGGGCAGGAACCATCTTGTGATTCTGTTCTGCACCCAGTGCCTAGCACAATGGGGTCCTGACCCCCTGACTTGGGCCTTTCCATGCTAGCACATTACAAAGAACTATTGTTAATAGAAATAATCATCATCATTCATCTTAACTGGGGAAACTTCTCTCAGTTTTAAACCCAACTCCCAGTTAAGAAGGCAGCTTCCAAGATATGAACTAAAATTACCAGTCTGCTGTTGGCTCCACATACGAGCAAGATGGGGGAAAAGGCACGAAGCTCATTCCCTCTTCCCTTACGATCCTGTGGAGGGTCCTGCCCTAGCATAGTGGGAAGCAGAGCCATTTCCCCTTGCCAGAGCCAGCCGTTATACTAGCCTCCCCAAATGCAGCTGGATGCAGGGTGTGGCTCTGCATAGCGGAGCGGGACAGGCACACGGGAGCACACACAGTATTCATTTGATTTGAAGGGTGGCACGGGTGCTGCTACAATATACGTTTCTTGGGAGCTGTAGAAGAGGTTGTGACTGAATTAGTTGGATTCCGCCCTAGGTCCTCTCCTATTGCAACAGGGCCTTTTCTACACTGTTAGAGCAGAAAGTACCAACACAGGGACAGAGGGCAGGAGGCTTGCATCTCCCCTGTTCTGGGGCTTCCAGGAGCTGGCTAAACTCCTAGCACAGGTTAGGACAGCTCTCAGGTGCTATCTTCACTTGCACCCTTGTTGCAATGGTCCCACTACAGGCACACAGGGTACCTTACAAACTTTTTTTGGGGGGGTGGGGTGGGGTGACGCTCTCCTACAGCTGCAGCTCTACCTCCCCACCTTTTGACGGGACCATCTCTCAGACAAAAATCCTTCCTGAAACATATACCCTCCACCCCTAGCCTGACCTTGCACCAGAAAGGCCTCACCAAAGGAGCCTTGACCTAGAAGACCCTTGTGAAACAAGGAGGGCCATGCCCAGCTTTTTGTTCATGTGCTGTACTGTGACTGGTACTGTCCCTTTCAGTTGGGGCTTCTCTCCAGTGTGTGCTGTTAATATGGTCTCTGACCAGCCCTCCTACGCCAGACTTTAGAATCCATGAACTAGAGGACAGCAAACGGAGAGGAAAATGCTTTTGTTGAATCAGGGAGACACTCAACACACAGTAGACCAAGATAACTTAATAACAGGAACATATTCGTTAACACAAAACCCGTAGTGTGACCTGCTTCCTGCCTTAGCTCAGTCTGACTAACCACAGCTGCAGCAAGCGCACCACCAGCCCAAAGAGGGAGAAATACTGGCAGGCCTTAGAAAGGTCAGGTTCTAAAAGAAACAGCTATCAAAGCGATATACTCCACTAGCACCAATTCTAGTCGATATAGGAATTCCCTGTAGTTGCTTGGTCCTCTTGCAGAGAGCCCTGGCTGCTGCATTTCTGAGCTGATTTTGCATACCCTTGTGCCATTTTTAAATAGTCAGGAACTGTGAGGGACAATGCAATGTTACAAAAGAGCAAACTGAGCCCTGTGTTATGCTGCAAGTTTTACAGTGTTTTTCCCACCGGTGCTGTTCATAAACCTCTTTATTAAAAAGAGAGATTTCCCATATAAAGCGGCAACTGACAATAAATGCTCTTCCACTTGCTCCTTTTGTTTCTTCCTGGTAAACAGTACTAAATGTCAGGTTTCAGAGTAGCAGCCGTGTTAGTCTGTATCCGCAAAAAGAACAGGAGGACTTGTGGCACCTTAGAGACTAACCCATTTATTTGAGCATAAACTTTCGTGAGCTACAAATCACTTCATCGGATGCATTCAGTGGAAAATACAGTGGGGAGATTTATATACATAGAGAACATGAAACAATGGGTGTTACCATACACACTGTAACCAGAGTGATCACTTAAGGTGAGCTATTACCAGCAGGAGAGTGGGGGGGGGGAACCTTTTGTAGTGATAATCAAGGTGGGCCATTTCCAGCAGTTGACAAGAATCAGCAGCACTACTATGGGTACCT